CAACGTTTCGACAAGGTTTTGTCATCATCAGGTACCTGATGATGACAAAACCTTGTCGAAACGTTGTACATTTGCTGTTATGTTAAGCTTATATCTAATAGGTAAATATGACATTTATATAAGCTAACCAATATATATATAGAATTATGGTCAGAATAGACTAAGAAACTAATTAACTGATAAATAAAGATTTGTACTGAATCAGCAAATGTACAATTGTTTAGGAATATCATATTCATCCTAGGTTTGCTGTAAAAAATAGAGCAATATTGGACGATTAAAACAATTTGGGTGTATAGGTAGCAGATTTTGGTAATCAAACAGACGTCCATTTAAACTATACAAGTAAACAAGTAATAATTTGCGTAGAGTAACTAACAAATTCTAAAATATTTGACATTCAAAAACAATCAAACTAGGATTCTGGCCAGACTGATAAAAGAATAATTAGTGGCTAATCTGAAAGAATCAGAGTATAAATTAAGGATCAAAAGTGGCAATGGAAATATTTGGAGACTAACCAATGGGAAATCAGGGATTAAAACTGACATTGGAAAAATTAGGCAATGGAAAAAAAAAGCAATCAAATTAGGTTTTGCTAAAATAATCATAAGGTAAGCTATGGGGTGTCAGGCAACATTTGATTAGCGGCACAGCAATCAGTCAATAGGTTAAAGGAAGTCTAGACCATCCAAAAGAAAAACTAGGATTCCGGCTACAGTAATGAATGAATGACTTTAGAAGCTACTTTATACTACTGACAAAAATGGATAAGGCTAGACAAGTCAATAAACAAGTCGAGGAATGACCTAGTAAAAGTACTACTTTCTTCCCATACTTATGTTATGCTTAATTTAGTTTACGTATATTTCAGTAATGTCCAATCGCTATTATATTTGTAATGCAAAATTCTCTCTCATAAAGACCACTTTATGGAAGGATTCCGAAACCGTATTCCATTAAATTGTTCTATTCAAAACAAACTGCTATTGTACAAACTGCTAATTTGATTGATTTTTAATATATATATATATATATATGAAAAATGAGAATAGGTGTTTATTATTTATGTATTATAAATACACATATGTTACTTAAGTATTCAAACAGAAGCATCTTAAGGGTTGCATTAGTATGTCCACGTTAAATTTAATGAGCTGAGAGAAGACTAACTCTTAACTTACTCTTTACCAACAATCATTAAAATTAGAAGAAAAAATAACAACACAAGTTTGGATTCTACGTAGATGTAGACGTTATTAACGTACATTTTCTTCATTTTAGTACTTCATCCTGACGATGCATGCTGTGAAGAGCGAGCTGTGGCGTCAGATGGAGCTACAAATATGGAAATAATACCACTAAAACAAAACCGTGACTCTAAACAAGCTATCGATACAAAAAACAAGTTTTGTTTTCACTCCCAAGACAATTTATCAGGTGAGTGATTTTCCCTGATTTTATTTTTCTATGTTACTTAAATGTCTAAAGCGTGGTCTTTGTCAGATTTATAAACAACGAGAAAAATAATTATTACACTAACGTAGCAACTGTTTGGCAATATTCAATCACGTAACGATTTTGTTCCTTTATTTCTCCGAGAATCATGAGACTGGCAGCTGAATCATACATAAGCATGACATTTAATTGAAATTATAGATAACTTAGTAGTTAGTTCCGTTAATAGGGTTTTTGATGAACTGGAAATCTTCAACGTACTATAGGTCTGGATTAGTCAATACATCAATTGTAAATCGCCGTTTCTTTGTAGTTTTTACACAGGTTTAATATTAATTGGATTTCCGATCCTATAAGAATCTTTAAATCATTTACGAATCTTAAATACTCATGTAAATATTTCTTCTTCCAGTCTAAAGATCGTTTCTAAATAGTCAATTAATACGTTTCACATAGTTCAATCCTTATAGTTTACTGAAAATACGCTTCATTATCCCCAAGATTTGAATTCTACTAGAACCAAGACAACAGCCAAAGTGAAGAGTTCTAGTTTCAGAATCCATCGACCTTCAAATTTAGATAAAGAACAAGGTAAGCGTCTTTGTGATAGTGAATCTGGTATGTAACCTTTGTTATCATTCCAGAAAGAATGGACAGATAGATAGTATCAAGGGTACCATATCACCTTAGTTAAAGTCAAAATAGCACGGTTTCCGAAGACTTACTACTGCCCCAACGTGGGTCTTTTCATATGGAATATTTAAATAAATATATTAAATATGTCCTAATCTAGAACACTAACCTATACGTGGGATATCAACCTCCTCCATTTACAAAAGAATATGGAATGTAATGCTATAACCTCAGTGGTTTTTGAAAGATGCTTTCATCTTTCTTTTAAAACCCTAAATTTAATTTAACACAACGTGTTGTTTCAAATGCAAAATTCTATTATGCGATATACTGGTTTCTTAACTATAATTATTTCTTTTGTCATATACAAAATATTTTCTTGTATGGAGTTAGGTTCTCAGTTTAAAGTTAATGATATGGTATAATTTAACATAACATATAACGTAATGTTTACGGACAACAAGAGACCTCTTGGTCCATCTAGGCTGTCCCATCCTCGAAAATAAGCTAAAAACTATAAAATAAATTAAATAGAAAACCTCAGAGCCAACCCTTACAATTCATATAGTTCTCAAGCCTTCTTTTAAACTCGATTAGATTTACTGCCACCACAACATCTAAAGGCAACCCGTTTCTAAGGCCAACCACCCTGTTAGAAAAATAAAACTGTCTTAGCTGAAGATGACCCCTACCCTGCCAAAATTTATATTTCTATCCCCTAGACCTACTATTAACTATAAAGTATTAAGTATGCATATTCTGATGCTTTAAGTAATCGTATGTAACATGTAAAATCCGTAAGATTAGCTATAATTATTTTATGTACATTCTATATTGAGGTTCTTAGCTAGCTAGACCCAAGTTAATATGAATTCAACTCTTATGAGCTATTAAATTTGGATTCGAACTCAGTCAGGACAAGATGACGTCTGTTTTAGAAACCAGACCATACGAATCTAGTTTGAAACATAGATCAGGTTTTCATTTAAAACTTGGAATGAAACCTAAAGCAAATAAATTAATATCCAAACGCCTCTCAAACTACATTAATCTTCCTTTGATTAACAAGTTCTTGGAATACGTTAAACAACATGCGTAGCTTGCAGTTTTATTTATCACCTATTAATTTCATGTGTATATGATAGAATTAAAAAATTTACATGAATGGAATAGAAAATTTAAAGGGAACGTTTCCACCGCTTATTTTTCACAAAATTCAAGTAAGAATTGTCGACAAAATATTGTATATAAAACAATTGTATATATTGTTTTGTATATATTATAAAACTAAATAGTCTAGTTTTCAATGAACTAAGCTAAACAAATTCATATTAACGTTGAAACAAGTAAGTTTTTTTTTATCTTTGTATAACCTATTGAAAATGTAGCGCCACCTATAAGGGCTTAAAAAGTGTTGAGAAAACGTTCTTTCAACACGCTATTATATTTTTTTCTGATAATATCAATTAAATTAATTACCGTATAAAATAAGTGGCACGACAATATAAACAATATATTTTTCAATATTTCAAGGAGAGACTGTCGAGCCGATGACACTGGGTAAATTAGTGAAGAACAAATTGTGTCGGACACTAAGTATGAAATCGGATAAGAACCAGAGGTCTGTGGGTCTAGGTAGGATGAGTAGAGTAGTTTTGGTGTGGTGACGCTTTAGCTATTTCGAATGTCCAGTGTTCTGCATGATTGGTTGTTAGATACCCTAATACTGTAACCAGCTTCCATACATGCATGATTCCCGCCTTTTCTGTAGTCTTTTAAAGCCTCGAATTGTGAAGGTTATTGAATTAAGCACTTGAAGAAGTAAACTGTTGTATGTTTGAATAAAAGAACAGTGTTAATTTAGAATTAAGAAAAGGATTATTAAGGAACAGTAAAATATTTAGATTAAACACCACTTACACATATTTCAATAATAATCGCTGATTATCTTACACAAGATGGAGAACAATTTACTAACACAACAGTTTTATTTCTACTTATCAGATACTGAATATTTTCCCAAAAAATATTCATAACACATTCTTATGTTAATCAAGACATACCATCATTCAGAATAGCTGTGTCCTAAACTGTGCTGGCAATTCACGCAAGAGTACATTGTGTTTCAGGTAATCGCATATAGAGTTATGCTGTATGAGTAATTTATAGATATATACTTTCTTAATTTGAAGGATTAAAGAAACTAGCATATTAAAACTACCTTGAGTTAATAATAGTTTGCGACAGAATCTTTCAAACTAATATCGTTTTGCATAAAACTTGTACAACATTATATTTCCGGCAAGAAATGTTTTTAAGATTTAATTATCAAGTAATTATATGTTATTTCACCTAGGCATACATTGATATTTTAGTACACCTACATATATTTCATTATTGTATTTCACCTGAACTTTAATTGGTAGAGTAATACACTTACATATACTCCACTGTTGTATTTCACCTGGACCTTAATTGACGGATCAATACATTTAAATATACTCCGTTGTCGTAGAAACCTCGTATATTCACTAACATGATTTAATATTTTTTAAACTTGTAACTTGGATCTAATAGCACTCATGAATTACTCACCACCTCAATTTTTCTTTGCAAATTTACATTTTTTAAGTTTTAGTTTTCACCAGTCCTTTAATTTTATAACCTAAATAATGACAACGTATACTCAGTAGCGCGAAAAAACAAACAAAACATTACATCATTAATTCGAACTTTTTGTACTACATATATTTTCGCACTTTGTTTTCTTATTTTAATCTTCCTTTTTTTTGGCAACAGAGTTAGAGAAAAGATCAACACGATCAAGATCAGATTTAACGTCAGAAAATGAAATCCCAATAATGACAATTGGACCGAACGGAATCCGCAGAGGATCTGGACAAGTGTTCTCCAGAAAAATTAAGTTTAGCGGAGGTAAATGTTTTCAAATGTAAAGTAAAAACTTCAAGTGCTTTAAAATCAAATTCATTAATTATTAAATGTGTCTTTCCGAAAAATGAAATTATAGAATTCGTTGACGTAGTAATTTTAGAACAATGCCAAATATTGACTAATTGATAATACGTTCTATACCATGGTTTCACTTTTTGGTAACTTTATATTTTTTGGAACCTTATTAATTTTTAAATCTTCGACAATAATAATAATATGAATTACTTCACGAACAGAATCAAAAAGCTTAAAAATAATCTGAACATTTTCTCAATGTTTTTCTGATCGTTTCGCCCTCTAGCAGAAACTTTGGGAGACATCAAACTTGGATTCCTGATTACCAAAGGACATCTAGAAGTTCAGGTCATATGTGCTCGTCAGCTAAGACTTAATACAACAGGACAACCCCCTGGTAAAGTTAATTTATGTGTATCTTCCATCAACACACATTTAGGAACAATGAAAAGGGTGGGGAAAACTTACTATACAATTGGTATTATACGGTTGGGACTAAAGGAAATATTTCGAAGACAATCGAAAACATTGTATATATATATTTTGTGTATGTGTATATTTGTTATTAAATAAAATAAGAGGGAGCATAGGGAAATGAAACCTATCTTCTATGAGATTAAGGCAAGTACTTACATGGTTGTGCTTTTCCAGGAATGTGTCTTTATTCTACACGTATCTCTGGAAATTGAATACTGAGTGCTAGTGTTTCCATTTTATAGTTTGCTGAGTGTAAAGAAAATAATAATCAATCATACCATCTGAGTGTTTTATATAAACTTCTGTTTTGTAGTATACATTACTACTGATGGTGAGAGTAAACACCTAAAACTTTAAGTAAAATGCTTCTCAATTGTTTTGAAATTTTCTGGAGAAAGTTAACAGAATATTTTTATCTCATTCTATTTTACGTGTTGAATATGCACTATAAGAAAAGATTGGTTAAGTTTTCAACTCACTGAGTAGTTCGAGCATTTCCAAACGGTATGATTGGCTACTTTTAGACGCCTCCTTGCATTATTCTCACAAATATTTACTCTTTAGTTATATATATATCTACATATTGAGTTAGAAATGATTGTCGCTATAGCTAACGTATACTTTAACATCGGTCAATACCAGCAATATGAATTAAATATATTTTGATCTGAATATTTTATGAAATACCAAAGCTATTTTTAAAAGTACATGGAGCATGATGAAACTTAATTAAAGTTTAATGTTCATTTAATTATCACACTTGTGCATATAAAAAAGGTAAATTTAAGGTCTGAGGTTATATTATCCCCAGTAAGTATAGAAACTTTTTTATTATGTTACGTAATCAAACAGTGTTGGCTTTTGGGTAATATATAATTATCTATTCGTCTTACATATTAGGTCAATAAATAACGATGTGATTTAAAATATTTCCAGTCTTATTGTGCTTTAATATCACACACTATTACTATGCACTTATATACCTACAAACTTTCCAAGTATGTCAAGCAAAGTTTTGACCGTTTTCAAAGCTAATCTAATTAGTCAGGTAGGGGTGAATGACTTTCTTTGAAATTATTAACAGCTGTGTCCTACTGGAGTTTGTTGTTTTAATTCTTTAGCGTTGAAACAAAGGCAATACACTAGATATTAAGTTAATAGTAGCAACGCGGAACAGGTGTATAAGTGTTCTCATCCTTGTACAGACACATATGTTAAGACTTACTTGAAAGAAGGAGAAAGACAGATGCAGAAAAGAAAGACAAAAGTAGTTCGTCATTCATCAGAGCCGCAGTATCGTCAAACAGTAAAATACAGTGCTTCAAATATCCAAGGTCGCCATCTACTGGTAAGTAACAAGTTATGCTCTTTAAAATTAACTATTCAGTAACTCTATACGTTATTTTCAAATCAGAGCACATTGCCTTAAAATGAATATAAAAAATTCTCGAGAATTCTTCTAATTATTAACAAATATAAACATGTGCAAGGAACCTCTAAATAAATGGTATGTTGAAGAAAAAAATGTATAATCAAAGTTTTATGAATGAAGACATTCTTATCGTCTGAATTTTTATTCCTGTTTTTGTTTTTGTTTTTTCATTTGCACAGTATTTGCAATTCATATAATAATAATAATAACAACAATATATTTTAGTTATACTTTACGTCCACAAGATGGTCTTATAAGCGAATAATAAAGGCGTTCTTGTCTGCTCAGCTCTTGCCTTAATAATATTTCACAAATAAAATATTATTATCTTGTCTTAGATTTCATAGTTCTATATGCAAGGTGTCCAAGCCTCCTGAATATTTCATCTCTGATATCATAATCAAGTAATATAAGACCTTTGTATTTCATAGTTTTATATGCAAGGTGTCTAAGCCTCCTAAATATTTCATCTCTGATATCATAATCAAGTAATATAAGACCTTTGTATTTCATAGTTTTATATGCAAGGTGTCCAGCGTCCCGAATATTTCATCTCTGATATCATAATCAAGTAATATAAGACCTTTGTATTTCATAATTTTATACGCAAGGTGTCCAGCCTCCCGAATATTTCATCTCTGATACCATAATCAAGTAATATAAGACCTTTGTATTTCATAGTTTTATACGCAAGGTGTCCAGCCTCCCGAATATTTCATCTCTGATATCATAATCAAGTAATACAAGACCTTTGTATCTTTTTACTCTTAGCCTTTTAAGCAAGTAACAAAATAATTCTTATATCCTAGATCTTAGCCTCATAATATAGTAATAAAAACATTATTTTTTTTTAACTACTTGTACTATAAACACCTAATAAAACACCTTCTAACTATAACTGCTGCGTTATGATGCGGTAAGATGATCTAATAATACAACACATTTCTTTGGAATGAATGTTCGTAAAAGACAAGAAGTTGCACTGAGGTTACTCAGAATTATTCGTATTGTTAAAAATAGTTTTCTATAAAGCTTGAAATATAAACACGGTATTGGAAATAATTATGGAAACATTGAATAAATTGCAAATATTACTAGATTGCTCTCCCTTTATTCTGCCCCCCAGTGGCACAGCGGT